CAACTTACTGGCGACCTTCTGGAATTGATGAGGTTCGTCTGAGCAAGGGAAACGAAGGACATTAGTATTATTATTGCAATTCATGTCATTTATATAGTGTTTTTTCTTCGGAAAAGGTGTTACATTTAACACACTGAAGAAAGAAATGAAAAATGTTTCAGATATTTACACGTCCATATCTTTCACCAATTGTGACCATTAGCCGTTTTTCACTCTCCGGCTAAACAGTAGAAGGTTTCACAGGCGTGCACTATCTCGTATTTCATACTCTACCACTTCTTCGTCTACACTGTAAGGCGAAACACCGCGCAGCGAATTAACAGAAACGAAGGATACTTCTGGCTAGTTGCTCATGTATTATAGCATTTGGAACCAAATCGATTAGAGTGCCCGAGTGGTATTATTATTTACGTCGTATTTCACTACCTTGGCCGGAACTGTGACAGGGGGCGCTGCTTACCACACGCGTGGTCCGGGGATCAAATCCTGGGTCGTGAGTCGCCCGGGCCAACCAAGCCTTCCATCCCTCCGGGGTCGGTTAATTGGTACCAGACTTGTCTGGGAGGATAAAAACACTGACTTGAACATCGGCTGGCCCCCGCAAGTCATTGTATAGGCCACATCGCATTCAAATGCCACTACGAATGTACAAATGGAAGTAGAATGCGTGCCGCATCCCAAAAGGGATTGATCAACGGCGAATGCTTGAGGCTTTGTTCCAATAATTTCAAAGCACTTGAACATTTGACTGGTCAACTGTCTCGTTTGCTTCAAGGCTTGAGGGCTTTCAGAGACGAATCTTTGACTCTCAGGACAAAAACTAAGACTTGAACTCCTGATCAAGAATATGATATTCATCGCTGAAGAAGGCGTTAGTCAAAGCCAAACGGAAGGCTCCAACTCACCTGAAATAGAGAACAAGGGTCACCAGTTGACTTTTCGTGCCTTTTTAGGCGCTCTTGAAAAGGGCGCATGAAAAATGAATCCTTTTCTTTGTTCCACGCACGTGCCTCCATGACACGAGATAAACTGCTTTAAGCGCTCCATATAATGATCCTTACATCTTGCAAGCCGTTGAAATTCGGCCTATATCAACTTCTACCATGAGTTCTAGTTTCAGAGAAAAAGTCCATAACCAAATTTCAGAGAAAAAGTCCATAACAAATTTCAGAGCTTATAAATCTGGTGCGGAAAACAAATAAGCACAGCCTGCAATTTGAAGCACATTTTGGCCTTATGAAACTTTGACGTTGTGGTATTAATAAATGAGATCGGAATCGATAACCATGGAAAACCGTTTTTTTTTTTTTTTGGGAAACTGAAAACTGAAGTGTATTGACCCTCACCTTTAATGAAATAAGCGCAACGTGTACAAGTCCCTATCCCAACCTGAGAAACTCTACCGCCAGAAGAGGTTACCTGATCGCAATATTTTCTCCAATTCAGTTGGTACTTTTGTGTTCTCAGTTTTTGCCGCGCTTCAGATAACCGCGATATTGAACCAATTAAGCTTTGATGATTCAGTTTTTTGCGGTTACTTTAACGAATATATTTACAATTGACAACATACTCTTCAACCCGAGCTGCGTAACGGTCATAGATCATCCATCGTAACGGCTCAAGAAAACTACCCCAGATCCACACTCCATCAGACGCTCATTAGCAAAAGATCACCGTTTTAAATTCGCTAAAGACGCCATCGCTACTCTGCGTCACTCGGTGGGTCAATCGACGCTAATGTGAGTCCATTTGTCTAGATTACTTAGAATGCCGAGCGCAGCGGCCGAAAAGGGTTCAACTCGCCTCCCACAAATCCCCTTTCGCGTGCTCGACGGAAATATAGATGACGCGCACGAAGAAAGTCAAAGAATAGCGGGGGAAGGGAGCGAAATGGGATAAATAAAGGTACCCCTTATTCCTCGTTCACAATAGAAACAAGAGAATGAGGATAAAATTGTGAGCTTCAGCGATGCGCTATGCATTCGTAATTTACACCGTTTTGGTAAATGCCACCTTTTACACCTTATCTTGGACAGCCTCGTAAGTCCGTAACGATAAAATGGTGAATATGGTGCAACAGCTCCATAAACGTGACCTCAGCCTCACTCGCTGAAATGAAACTAAGAGGAATTACAAAATAAAAGTTTGGTTTCCCCGACGACTGCTGAGCAAAAGGAGTCATAGCTATCGGATATTAAAAACATCCCACAAAAACCAAATGGCCCTCTCTTCGAACAATTCATGACATCAGTCTAACTTGTGAGAATGAAATGAAATAATCCACCAAAAAGCTGTAAATGAACTGTCACGCCTTTGCATGCCACTTTTCGGACAGAATGCAATAAACATTGGGTCGCACTGTGCCTCACAAATCATGGTAAACGATTCAATTTTCCCCGCAATGCATTGATTTTCCTATACAAAGTTGATGAGAGTTCCACGAAGAAGTATTGAAAAGTGAAGAATGTAAGCAATACCAACCATTTCGCATTCCTTATTATAACTCAGAGAGCCGCCACACCCCTACAACTTAAAGACAGATGGTATTATGAATTGGTCGTCGTTAGAAATAAAAGTAGGATGGTTAAATCGTGCTGTCTTGCAGAGGAAACCGAGTTAGCGGCCTCAAATCCGCACAACAAAACCCTTACTTTCCATATAATTTCAGAACAGCGCATCCCAGCACATTGATATGTCAACTGAACGCTCTGATCTACCGTTCTGCCGAAGAAGCTAGAGTTTACCACTACAACTTAAAGGCAGATGGAATAATAAATTCGTCGGCGTTAGAATATTAGGTTGTAAGGAAAGTTCTGGCCGTTTCGGACCCTGAAGTTCAAATGCGCATATCTCGACTCAAACGCAACGTTTTCGATCGCAATAAAAACCTGCTGGATCTACTCGTTCTTGCGAATATTCCTTGTGTTTGATCATTCCGCTCACTAGAAGTACTGTAGTTCTAGAGGCGATGAACTAGGCGAAGGTCGTTTTATCATCACGTCAGATTTCGTAGCATTTCTCCTTTAGGGTGCTATCCAGACCTTTGAAAAAGCGGCAGTGAAAATAGGGCGATGAATAGGTAGAGAGGACTAGGGAAGTGGAGTGTTTAGGGCATAGTTCAGTACCTCAGCTAGTTCGTTTTTTGCAGGGTCGATTCTGCGGTCGACGGTTGAGGTGCACCTCGGCAAACAATCGGGCCATTTCTGGCAGCCCTTGCTGGGCATATGTGCCAAGGTCTGAGGGTATTTTGCTACCTTGCAAATGATACTGTCTTACTATGATAGTTCCGCCTGTGCTCGGGGAGTTGCGCCTGCTGTAGACCGCGTAAAAGGCAGAACAACCTTCTCCTCGTGCATTTCACATTTGCAAATTTTTGTTAACCCTAGTCTTCATCGAACTTCTCAGCCGAAAGACTATAGGTTATTGAGAAGAATCTAGTCTACATTGCAACTCACAACACGAACAGAAACCCATCGTTTTCTTTGGATGAAAGATTGCAGAAGTAGGACAGATCAGCGTTACAGCAATTCGCATACTGTTGTGTGCACCCTATTTATTGAGATTTTCGAGTGCTCTAAGCCATCCCAAGAATCTTGAAACCATAAATCAAATACACGCAATTTTAGTAGCGGTCTTCTTAACAGTTGTTTTAAGCACATTTGGTTCTATCAAAGTTTCAGTTGATTTTTACCGAAATTCCACATCCAACGGTCACCCTCGCCAACTTCGAGGATATCGCCGTCCCTACATAGGCTTTCCAAACTATCGCTTCATGGCTTATTTTTCGCAAGTGCATGACCAAACGAATAGTTCATATCATGAACTTATTCCACTCCTTTCTGCCCTTATTCGAGGTAGAAGAAGAAAATCGTGAGGATTCGCTTGGTGAGCATGTTCCATTCAAGGCTTTAAAAAAGTGGGAGTAGTCCATCTAGAGCAAAGTTTACATCGTATTTGGATAGAGCAAGAAAACACGCTTTCTAGCGATATGCAACTCGTAGCAGTCTGCCGAAAATTTAGCCAGAAATAATGCCATGAAACATGAACTATTGAAAACGGCCAGAACTTTCCTTACAACCTAATATAAGTAGGATGGTTAAATCGTGCTGTCTTGCAGTGGAAACCGAGCTGACAGCCTCAAGTCCGCACAACAGGACCCTTACTTTCCCATATGATTTCAGAACAGCGCATCCCAGCACACTGATATCTCAACTGAACGCTCTGATCCAGTTCTGCCGAAGAAGCTAGAGTTCGACCACCAACGACCAGCGGCCGGCAGAGGCAGGAAGCGTCTAGAAGGATGGATAGCGTCTTATTACGTCAATACGGCCCGTAAATCGCCGCCAAGGCGCCACTTCCTGATAGTTCTCCCTTTCTAGGCGCCTCCCCTCTTGATGGACACAATTTATCGTGCCACCCCACTTTTGTGCAACCCAGTTACGTGAACATTTTGAAAAAAAAACGCTAGCATGCCAGCAAAAAAAAAGAAAGGCTTCGAAAAAAAATTAAAACGTCATTATCTACGGAGGAACAAACAATCAAGTATTGTTCTGTTCCGAAGCGTCACGCTGAATAAGATGTGTAAAAACGATGAGACTTCGAGATAATTGTTGCGGAAGATTCAAAAAAAACTTATGACAAGGTTGCAGGTACTGCAAATAGTTTTTATACTTTGGCAACTCTATTGTGAGAAGTTTTTGAGTCTTTCGCAAAAAAAGTAATTGAGATTCTCCCTATGGTTTTCTCACACATTCGAATCATAGGAGAGGTAAAACCCTTCTAAATAGAAGAGCGCTCAAATAAGTCAATATATCTAGAAGAGAACGTTGCCAGATCTAGATAAAACAACAAAGAATGAACGCTATTACACACTATGGAAATCATATGCCGCAAAAAATTGGAATGAACTGGGGTCTACATCAGTTCTTACATTTGATGGATGCTCTGCTGCCATCCAACAGAATATGAACCGAAAGCTGGTAATCAGAAAGTGCATGAAATCAGTAATTCAGGGTTGAAGGAAAAAAGTAAAAGAAGACATGCACGAAAGCAGAAAGGAGAGAAGGAGAAAAAACATAGAAAATGAAATGAAAATTCCGCCAAAATGAAATGAAAATTCCGCCAAGGAACAACCATTTGAAATACTCACCCTAGTTAAAGGCAAATTGTGTTTCTTGGGAACCAAATTCTTCACTCCTTCCATCACAAATCGTGAGCTGTGACTGAGCAACTTGTTGAACATATTAATGGTCTTCGTACCGGGCACCTTTGATGTTCCTCTGGTGCTGTTCTTCCCAACTGCGATATTGATCTTTAACGAAGCAACTTTTTTTTCCGCTTGAGCATTGCATAATGGCAAATTTCACAGTACAACTGAGACAGAATCATTTTGAAAAAGTAAACCCAAGAAACGAAGAACTAAGTCGGAAGCTCACCTCATTTTCTGTACAAAACGCACTGCTGATTCGTCTATTGCTCTTTCCCGTAGAAAATTCAATTGCTCCTCAAGCTCAGCCTAAAGCTTGAGAATCAAAATTTCCAGCACGGGTTTTCAAAAACTTGCATCAACCTACTATTTACGACAATACGGTTTTCAAAAACTCCACCATAGTGAGGAGGAGGAGTGTTAGATTCAAAAACAGCTTTATTTGCTAAGAATAGTGAGCTTCTTTCAGGGTCAACCGTATATGTTGTGCAGCTTTTGAAAATTTCACGACCCCACTCCGAAAGACCTCGATACGACTCCCACCACCAATCATCCCACGGTTGGTCCCCCAGGTGCCACCCCATCATCCTCAGCACTGCGGCCGTTCCTATAGTATTTACTTGAGTCGAAGACAGTCGGTAAGCTACAACTCCACCTAATTTCCCTCAAAATTCCGTCAGGCCCTGTTCAGAGATGCTCGCTTACGCGAAAAAACGCACAGGAAATAAAACGAAAATCTCCGCCAAGATTTAGATACGCATCGACTGAGAAATTGGGAAACGCGTAAGCGAAACGTCCGGAGCAGGCGAATTTCAGTCAAGAGTTTGATATGTATCGACTGTGAGAAACGCACAGGCGGAAAATCGCGTGAGCGAAGCGTTCGGAAGTCGATGCGTATGATACTCATTTTCGTCGATCCTCCCACTTCACGATTCTCCTGTGCGTCTTCGCTCAGTCGATACATATTTTATTTCGCCTATGCGTTTTTTCGCGTAAGCGGACATCTCTGAACAGGGCTTCATGCGAAGGGAGGGATGAAAGCGACTAAAAACTAAAGAAACGAATACTGATTCTGCCTACTTCGGGCACTTCACGGTAGAAATTCGTCAGGACGACCCCATCCTCCTTCACCACAACAGGCCCCCCTGGAAATCTCAAATACGATCCCTTGTCACCGACACTAACACAAAAAAAGCCAAAAAATGAGTACCCCCATACCAAATGCTACCCGCACCAGAATCGGCCAGATCCACGGTTGACCCTGTTGCTGGTAGCAGTTCCTTTAAGGTCAACGACCGTTCTCAAGTGTTTTACTCACGACTGGTTTGACAGCAGCAATAAAGATGCTAATACCTTGCTGATGTTTTCTTGACATAAGTAGTTGATCAAGATCACCCTCAGAACATCTTCAGGATTTGTGAGGTCCGATAATAATTGAAGAAGCGGTATTTCTAAACTAGATAATATTATAGCGTGCACAAATACAAAGCAGCCGTCTTCAATAGCTTACCAAGAGGAGAATGTTGCAACAGCTTCTGTTCTAGCTCGAAGAGAACGTCCAACTTTCGCTGTTTTATGTGATCCAGAAGGGTTGTGGCCACATTTGTATGAAGATCTATCAACCTCTTGGCTTCCAAAAGCTGAGGAAGTGATGTAACAGTAGATCCTAGTTTTGCTGTAGTATCCGACAAAAGTGATGTCATTGCTGCATCCGCATCGGTACCATCCATACCCTGAAACGCACACCAGAATAAATGCCAGACCATTTTACCTCTGCGAATACTGCATCAAAGATTTCCGCCATACAGGTCTCGAGAGATTTCTCATGTAAGCACTACAAACTTTAAGAAAGGATTTACAACCAGCATAAACATGAGCAGGGAAAGTTCACAGAGGATTCGAAAGTTAAATTTAAATGACTAAATGACAATTTGTGAATGAGGGAAGGAAGGCAAGGAAGGTGCGCGTAGTCGACCGTAAATTTAAACGAATTTCTAAGAACACTCAAAGAATCAAATCAAAGGATGGTGAGCTATGGACATCATCATGGTTCCAACCAACTGCCACCAGTGTAATTTTGGATAAATACACATGGAAACTCACCATCGCATGTTTAAGTCGCTTGATTTCGTCCTCACTGTTTCGATAAGCTTCCAAATCTTCCTGAACTGCCTCGGCAACCAATGGGAAAGCACTGCCCTGAACAATACGCATTTGTGAAACTTGGGACAACGATCAGCAATTGTTGTGACGAATGGAAAAAAAGAGAGATAGGCTATAAAAAAAAAACCGAGGTGTTTTGATCAAGATCAAGATCCATTACTTTGTGTTTTGTCCACAGTTTATCCGTTCCGCCACTGGACATGTCATACTCCTTTTTCTTGCCAGACTTCTCTGAATAAGCTGTAAAGACTGCGTTGTTTGGTCCAATTTCTACAGTAAGTAAAACTCGTCGTGTATTTGATTGTGTATAAAGATTGTAAGCATTATCCCGTTATAGGTCTTAACCCCGAGCTATAGCACGAAGGTCCAGAAAATCGTGGACCAGGCGGCTTGATATGTTGTCCAAGATGATGCAACATTGTTGCGCAGATACGGTCAGATGCTAGAAGCAACAAAAGATGACAAATATCCCTCCAAAAATCGCCATGTAGCATTGGTAACACAAGAATAATTGTTAAACAATCAGTCTCAACCTGGGTCAGCGATGATAAGCAGAGGACGACTTGCATTTAGTTGACCAGCTCGAACACTTTCAATGGTGAAAAGATTATTACGTGCGTCTCTGAGATTATCGCGAAGCTTTTGGTCCAAACGCTGAAGTGTCAGAAAATAGTCCGTAAATAAGGCACGTTCCAGCAAGAAGAAAGGTCAATACAAACCTTACGCATCCATGTTAAGTTAATGAATGACAGCGTTATCTTTTGGACAACGTATTATGGGCACAATACCCATAGTTGCACACACAGCGAATAAGCCATCCGCTACAGAATCAATGAATGCAGCCATTTGATCATCCGACGTCGAGGGGTCATTAATGGCTAAAATATAACACTGAAGAGCGCATGTGAAGTAAGAGAAAGATTCGCCCAATTGCAACCATGGTCCGGAAAACAACAAGAAAAACTAACCAAAGTACGACATAGGGCTATTTTCGCTATAACGACGCAGGACGAAGAGGTCGTCTTCAAGTGAAATGAAGTTTAAATACTGGTCCACAATCTAAAAATCATCAAGAATGACACAGACAAAATTGTGCGCAAACGTAAATAATCAATACGCGCCCCTCACCTAACGGTTCACTAGCACCATTTAGATCCTTCGGAGAAGACCCCAGAAAAGTTGAGACTACTCACCATTCGCTTCGTCTACAGCGGCTTCCTCCCTCCATTGCTGCAAATTTTTGGGCAAAAAACTCACCTTCTGCACTTGCCCATCAGATCCACCGTGAACAGCTGCAGATGCCAAGTTTTCGAGACGGACACGAGAAAGCGGAGAGATAAAATTGATGTAGAAGCTATCGTACATTCCCTGCCTGAGATCTTCACACAATAAGTCCACGTTTTCGTCTGTTGGTGAAACGAAATAAACGGCTGGTACGTCCGTGAGAGCCTCGCGCTTCGAGCCAATTAATCTTAAAACGAAAAATGATCTCTGAACACAGCTAAACTTCGCAGACCCTAGATTGAAGAATTAAACCTACAAATGCAAGGTCACTCCGAGGTCTCGCAGGCTCTTGATGGGTAGCAGCGGAGAAATTACATCTTGACCAATCTTATCCAAAACCAGTATTTTCCAGACAGGTTCAGTTACCATCGTATTCGTAATGGGCTGATTTAAGTTGATTACATTGCGTAAGGCAGCTGAAACACACAAAAAAAAATAGTGAAGAATGAAGGCTAAATTGGATTTAGAGCAAGGTAACATTTTTCTGGGCATACTGAGCCGAGAATTGAGCCCACGGAGAAAACTGAGGCAGTGCGCATCGTTGCGCAAAGTGCCTGTGATAAGCAGAGCTTGTACACAAACCAGTCGTACTACAATTGCACGTCTAAAGTTGTTTTCCAAAACCAGTTATAGGCGAAGCAAATTAGTACAAATGTAATTTTCGCCCGTGTGCATACCTTCCGTCTCTGGTTAACTTTAAGATCGCAATCGACTGGTGTGTTACGGCTTGGCTGAGGAGCACTCAGGGGGTCTTTCAGGGCAAGTGCATTCTGGGACGGTTCTTTGTATATTGTGGGAACGCGTGTATGGACCACAGAACATGTTTCGTTTTCAGTGGACAGTTTTAGAACTATCAAAAATGTAGTGAATGCTACCGATGGTTTGATCCCCCCGCGAATAAATTTTGCAATCAAGGTTGGCGGCCACTTTTGGCTTCAAAATGGTCCTGACGATGAATTTGACATCTGATTTGACATTTAGCGCGATTTGGCACCAAACCGTAGGCGCCAACCCAAATGCAAAATTAGTCGCCATTCTCCGCAGTAAGTACATATAGCCGGGTTGCCTTCTCTAACTTCAATCAATGATACGTTTCCGCAGAACACTTTCGAGCGATCATCTTCAATGAATGGCGTTGCGGCACAGGAGCAGTGGAAAGCCGTCAACATCATCAGCAGCGCATTGGGAAGGGACACCACTTCCATCATCAGTGCCAAGCTCTGGTTCGCAGGCTTCGAAGGAGGAGACACGGCTTCCGAAAACAAGTCAAGGTTGGGAAGCCCCCAAACAGTGGAAGACTCCACCGTTCTCGGCGCTGTCGAAGAGGATCCGGAGGTTAGCACCCGCAGCCTTGTGATAAGACTCGGGTGCACCCATCCCACAGTCCTCGGTCCCCTCCACGACCTCGCCACAGGAAAGTGTGACTCGATGGATCATGTCTTGACCGATAGCACGCGGTTCAGGCGGGTACCCATTTGTCAGTTTCTCCTTCTTCACCCTCACAGAACGGAGTTTATGAAAGACCTATGGAAGACCTGATTATGCGAGATGAGAATTGGGTCCTAACAAACACCGTAACCAAACCTTTGGGGAAGGGTGTGACACCACCCGCCGAAGTTGTTCACAACCAAGCTCTAGCTGATGATAAAGTCGCTCGAGTGGGATGAGAAGATATCCGTCTGGATGGACAGGCTCTCTAATCTGTGTTTCCAGACGACATTGTTCTCCTCCCAAGTAGCAATAGGAACAAGACGATGCTCGCTGAGATGACTGAAGCAGAAAAGGTGGGATTGCGGATCAGCTAAACAAGGACGCAGTTCATGAGAAACGCCTGGCCAGGCCTCATCCTACATTTACCTGAGACATTCCATGAACATGGGCACCTGGCAAAAAGAGAACTAGGAAAACGACAGAGCAAGGTGGGCAGCTTTCAGTCTTCTAAACGCGGATCTATTTGATTCCATACTTTTGCCTACGCTCTGCACATGGGTGAGCGGCATATCCACGTCAAGGGCTTACTGTATTCATGGCGCGCTCGAGGCAAGGCGCTCATGGCGTCTCATGAGCATTCATCGTTTCACCCGAACTCAGCAAGTCTGATCCACGAAGATTGCCGCATCTCCGCGATCCCGTGGAGTGCACGGGAAATGGCGATTTACAATGGGTGGCTCACGTCACGACAAGAAGTGAGGGCAGGTGGACTGCAATAATGGTAGAGTAGATTCAGTTGCTTGCGCGCATTCCAAAGAGAGAATTGCTGCGAGATGAAGGATGCGCTCAGCCCCGTGAGAGCGTTCTTCAAATCGTCGCCTTCGTCGTCTTCAAAGCAACCATGGATGGCGATCGCGAAAGATGTAGCGATTTGCTGCTGATGCCCGAAAATAAAAGAAGGACGCCCCGTAAAAGTAAGCAGAAGTGAGCAACTGTGTGACGCAGTTCCAAACCAAATTGTTCATCCTGTTGAATAACAAATTCAGCGAATCCTCGCTACCTGTGCTAATCTGAAGACCAGAAATGACCAAAGGATTAATTCAGATCATCTGTTGCAGCGAACTTTAAAAGTGTGAACTTGATCTTGAGCTAGATCTCGAGTAGGAGACCGAGCTTCGAAAGCTATGATTTAATTTGAAATTTCAGACTATTATGAGGAAGATTATGTACATACCAGATTGGTCCCCAGTCAACTGCCGGGACCTGCCTTCCTCTGCGTAGGCTTTACGTCTTCCGCTGTGGTCCCTTCCACCTTTGCCACCAACATCTCGCCTTTTCTCTATTGGTGCGTGGTTCTTCGCCCCGCTCCCCACCCTCCACTGCCCTCCAGCTGCCACTGCAGCACCATGTGGAATGACCGGAAGTGTGCTAAGCAGGTGTTTATATAGCCCGTAGGAGTGTTATCACAATTATCCTGCTACAAAACATTGATAGCTCAAATCCTGCGAGCTACCCGATTTGTTAGCGGTTTGTTTATTCGATTAAATTCCTTGTTACTCACTTTAGTTTGCGAACAGACACACAGACATACATACATACAGACATACATGTAAAATAAAACACCAAGTTAGTGATTTATAAAATAGAAAGGGGTCTCATCCAGTAAGGGGGGCATCAAGTGGCTGCCCTCACCCCCCCACCCCCCTAGACTGCCTACACTCCCCCTGGCGCACAGGTTTCTTGAAGTACGGGACCCCGTAAGCCAGGGGGAGTGAAGCCGGTTCAGGGGGGGTTTGCTGATGCTCAAGGGAGGCGGTCCCGAGTCCGTGCTATGCTCCCCCCGACAGTTCTCGGGGAGTGGCCACGCCCACCGATAGCCGGGGATATCTCCCCTATCGCCTGCCGATCGGGGCTAGCCGGGGATACCGTAATTTCGTAGCCGCCGTACGCATAATTGACTGTCGCGCGCACAATTCTTCTATGGGTTGCGTACTGCAGTTCTAAGAATTGCTCATTTGTGAGTATATCACTGCAAATAGTATGTGCAGAATAAGGTTTAGAGTTGGACACCCTTGATCAATCCCCACCATACTTATTTCAAATGATTTGGTCACGTTCGATACCATGTTTGTTATTTATAGCATCTTAAAGATTTGGATGCTATGTTATATTTTTTACATTTTGCAGATTTTTAAGGCTTCGTATTTGAGATTGTGAGCTATTACATTACGTGACACTAATTACCGTTTATTGGAGGCAGCCTGATGTAGCTGTTTTCTATCGATCAGTTAACTATATTTTAACCATTGAGGCTTTACACCCAAGAGGGGTGGATGGATCAGGGTGGGATCAGGATGGGTGGGGGTGAGGGGCGCACTTGAACGTTGCATCACTGCCCCCATTAATGGATGAGGACCATAGAAAGATGTGGTGATGAACTGGATGGAAAGAAAAAGAATGGCGGATCACAGGCATTAGATGAACGATGACGAATCCGTGGGTCTAAAAGAACATACAACTGTCTGGATCGATCGTATTAGCTGAGGACTTTCAAATGGGTCTAGCTCATGCTATGCCAGCAAAATACAAACAGCAGAAGCAATTAATATCTTTCAAAACGTTTGTTCGCAACTGTGGCCACGTCGAAGATAAAACACGCCAAGCAGGCGATGTTGGCGCAGATGGCGTGCGTTTAATTTGAATGTCTTCCGTAGTTTCGTTTGTGGTGTTTCTTGACTTTTGTTTCTTTTACTTCTAGTAACTAGTTAGTAACAAATTTGAGGCAGTCAATGTGTACTGTTCAGGAGGGCCTTGGGATTAATTAAACCTTAATTGCTTCCATCGAACAGTGGCTTGACGTTTGACATGTGCTTATTTCGGCCAAAAGATCGAAAACGTTGGCAATTTTTGGTTTCGGGTGTCTGGTTTTCGTAGTTTTATGTGGAAGCAGTTACATTTAAGAGTATTTACTATGAGAATATGTAGTCTTGAACTACTTAGCCCGTAATTGAGTGCTCTTAGAATTCTTTGGTGGGGTTATTCCAGTTACGGGGGCAAGATGATGTAATTTACCAAAAAGTTTGGGTAACTTCGAGCCAGGGGTGTAGCCAGTTTTGTGGGGGTGGGGAGGCAACCAGCGGGGAGATCAAGTTCGTGGCGCGATTGCGCCAACTTGCATTGCGGTGTGAAGAGCTGGCATATTCGAGTGTCTCACTACTTCCCATTGAACTGCCAAATGATTGCCCCTCCAGACTGAAATAGGCCCTTGTTGTTCAACCGATGATGGTAAGTCTCAGTATTGATTGTGACTTCTGCTCGTACATGGTTAACCATGTAATGGATGTGATTTGTCGACGAGTTCGGTCTTATATGTCGCGGAAACTTGGTTTCTGACGGATGAAGAGATGGAGACGATGATTCGCTGTGCGTGGGAGATTGCTGACGAAGAGGCGGAAGGAGCGGTGGATGATCAGAGTAGTTTGGTAATGTTATTCTTGAGAGGATACTTAAAACGAAGATTATTTGTGTTAAAAGACTTGAAAATCGTGTTGTTTAACAGGTGATATAATGGCCGTGAATTCTGGATTTCTAGGAGGAATGAGGATGTGCGAGGAGATCGAAAATCAGATAGTTCTTCATGGGACAAGTACTTGCTACGCTCGGCGAGGTGTTAGAAGTTATTTCTCGAAACAAGAGACGCTTGGCGTGTTCGTCGTATTATTAGGTATATGGGAGACGTCGAACGATAGTGCAGGAGGTGCCAGCCTCTTACTTGGAGCCATTCATCAAAACTGTTACGCAACGAAAGTTCAGGTATATTATTGTTGCGGGCGCTGTGATCCCAGTTAGGTGTTTCGTTTCCAGGTAATATGATGTTTCGAACGGTGATCCCCAGTAATGAGTGTTTTTTTTCAGTCAGTAGAGCATAATTTGCCTGAGACTGTCTATAAGAAAGAATACCTTGCTGATCTTATGGATTGTCCTCATATCATGAGGAACGTTGCCATTGCTGGCCACCTCCATCACGGAAAGGTAATTAAAAGGAAATTCCTGGAAACTCTCGTTATGAATGTTTCATTTCAGACTACTTTTTTGGATTGCCTTATGGAGCAGACTCATCCCGAGTTCTACCGTGCCGAAGATGCAGACACTAGGTTCACAGACACGCTTTTCATTGAACAACAACGGTATCATTTCCCATTGAGTCATTAATGTGGGCTTTTAAAGATTTTATCTGCTTGTTCTCATTTTTTACAATGTTAAGGGGATGTTCCATCAAAGCTATGCCAGTGACAATTGTAATGGAAGATTCACGCCTGAAAAGCTACCTTCTAAACATCATTGACACACCGGGTGAGTTATTTTCATATGTTTCTTTTTTTTGTAGACACTGTTGTGCTTCTAATTGAAATACGGTCCATAAATGATGTAGTCATTTAGCTTTTGCTTTTCTCAATGTTTGTCTCGCTAGGTACATTCTCAAATTGATCTGATCTTCCTCTAATTTCCTTACTTCAGTTCGCAGTTTCAGGTCACGTCAACTTCTCCGATGAGGTTACTGCTGCATATCGTCTATGCGATGGTGTTGTGATCGTTGTCGACGCGCATGAGGGAGTAAGGGTTTCAATTTCTTGAAGCAGTTTCTTCTTTCTTCTTTGAATTTTATTACTTTGTGCGAAATGGGGTTCAAATCAGGTTATGATGAATACCGAGCGTGCAATCCGCCATGCTGTACAGGAACGTTTACCCATCACCCTTTGTGTGAACAAGATCGACCGTCTCATTTTGGAGTTGAAAATGCCACCGGCTGATGCATACTACAAGCTACGACTTGTCATTGACCAAGTCAACGGATTATTGCAGTCAGTTTGAATATAGCAACAGCAGAAAACCATATTCCTAAAAAAGTTAGGATCAGTGGTGAATGTTTAGAACTTTCTCCGAAGACGATACCCCTGTATTGTCTCCACTTCTGGAAAATGTCATCTTTGCATCCGGACGCTATAATGTCTGCTTCTCTTTGCTATCGTTTGCGAATATCTATGCAGAACGATACGGTTTGTTTTCTTCTCTATAGGTTGTGTGGTTCTGGGAAGATTTTATTGTTCAGGCACTATTAATGCTCGTGAATTTGCCCGACGATTGTGGGGTGACATCTACTTTGACAAGTCTACTCGAAAGTTCTCAAAGAAGCCGCCGTCTTCGACTGCACAGAGGTCTTTTGTCGAGTTCATTTTGGAGCCGCTGTACAAAATCTTCAGTCAGGTAAATTTTGGCTGTGTTGTATTGTGCAATTGATCAAGCTAATATTCCCCAACTGTTTCAGGTTGTTGGCGATGTTGACACTTGTCTTCCACACATGATGTCAGAATTGAATATCAGATTGACAAAAGAGGAGCAAAAGATGAACGTGCGACCTCTGATCGCACTTATTTGCAAGCGTTTCTTTGGCGATTTCCGAGGTATTATTGGTTTTAAGGATCGAGAATTGCCGGTTTTTGAATTGTGTATGTTTTCAGCCTTTGTCGACTTGGTCGTGAAAAACATCAAGTCACCTATTGAAAATGCTAAAACAAAGGTGGAGCATATTTGGCTTGGACCGGCCGAGAGCAAACTTGCTGCTGAAATGGCAAAATGTGATGCTAATGTACGGTTTGCATTCATACGCTCCACGATTTTGCTTCCCCTTGGATCCATTGCTCCATTTTAGGGACCTCTCATGGTTCACACAACAAAAAATTATCCTACAGCTGATGCTACATCGTTCCGCGTTTTGGGACGTGTCATAAGTGGCACCATCGAGAGCAATGCGGACGTTCGTGTTCTTGGAGAAAACTACAGTATCCAGGTGAAATTTTGTTTGCCAGACTTAACTAAAGCAGAGAACTTGCGATACACAAGTCCTCTAAAAAGGATGAGTTAGGCAACTTTCAAAAAAAGTTGTCTGGGCGGAATTTTTGCCCATTACCTAGCATTCTTGTGAAACATTTGCAACTGGAACTGCGCCCTTAAAACAGCAGTCAACAAGCAAAAACCAAATAATTCCGTGTGTTCTCGCAAATTCGTTCTAGCCACTTTCAAGACTTCATTTTATTAATTTGCAGGATGAGGAAGACTGTCGCCGTTTAACTGTGGGTCGACTATGGGTTCACGTAGCCAGGTACCAGATAGAAGTGTCGCGTGTACCAGCCGGTTGTTGGGCTCTCATAGAGGGAATAGATCAACCGATTGTGAAAACTGCCACCATCGCTGAGTTGGATTATGAGGAAGATGTAAGTTGCTACAGGATAGTATTTCAAAATCATCTGATATTTTCTTGTAATTCTTTAGATGTACATCTTCCGTCCTCTAAAATTCAACACTAAAAGTGTAGTGAAGATGGCGATTGAACCCATAAATCCTTCTGAACTTCCCAAAATGCTGGATGGTTTGAGAAAGGTGAGCCAGATTCGGAACTTTATGAAATTCAGGATGTTTCACATCATATGATTTTCAAGGTGAACAAATCTTATCCACTGCTGACCACACGTGTCGAGGAGTCTGGGGAACATGTTCTCCTGGGCACTGGAGAGCTTTACATGGACAGCGTTATGCATGATATGCGAAAGGTATTACCAAACTATCTGGTGTACATACTTTGGTTTCATGCTTCAAATAATCATTTTCTTACCTCAAGGTCTTTTCCGAAATCGATATCAAAGTGGCTGATCCCGTCGTGACGTTCTGTGAGACTGTGGTGGAAACGTCTTCTCTGAAATGTTTCGCCGAAACTCCTAACAAAAAGTTGGTGCTTCTCTTTTTCATCGAGAAATGTTACTAGTTAAGCTGTTTAGGAATAAAATTACTATGATTTCCGAACCTCTGGAGAAGGGTTTAGCTGAGGATATAGAAAATGAGGTTTGCACATCTTCAGTGATTTAAAAGCCTACCTCGGGTTCATTAATTTACTTGCAATTGCAGGTTGTTCAAATTGGATGGAACCGTCGACGAATCGGAGAGTTCTTCCAAACAAAGTATGAGTGGGATTTACTTGCGGCTCGTTCCATATGGGCATTTGGGCCTGATATTGCTGGTCCTAACGTATTACTAGATGATACTCTTCCTTCCGAAGTCAGTTTTGGTCTTATCCTAAAATTGGCTACCGTTTAATTGAACGTACAGTTTTCTAGGTTGACAAGCAATTACTGGGCACAGTACGCGAATCGCTCGTTCAAGGATTCCAGTGGGCAACCAGAGAGGGTCCATTATGTGAAGAACGTAAGCTTCTTCAAAGCAGTTTTTCTGCAAGTACGATCTGTAAATCCTTTCCATTTCAGCCATCCGTAATGTAAAATTCAAAATGTTGGATGCTGTGATTGCCAAGGAGCCTTTGTACAGAGGAGGCGGTCAAGTAATCCCTACAGCTCGTCGATGCGCCTATTCCGCTTTCCTTGTTAGTTTGTCGAAATTCCCTCATTTTTTTCATGACCATCAGAGCTCGATTATTAGCCGCTTCTAGATGGCCACGCCTCGACTAATGGAGCCCTACTTTGTCGTAGAAGTTATCGCTCCTGCTGATTGTGTGTCTTCCGTTTACACAGTGCTGGCAAAACGAAGAGGTCACGTCACTACGGATTCTCCAATACCTGGATCGCCAATGTATTCGATCAAGGTGCAGCTTTGACCTCTTTGCTAGAAGCCTTCAGATGCTGATTCACGGTGATGTCAGTTCTGACAATCACCGTGCTTCATTCAAAGCCGACTGATACAACTTCCTGTTTATTCAACTTGCTTTATAATTTACTTTTGTGCCTTCAGGCCTTTATACCTGTGATGGATTCCTTCGGTTTTGAAACAGATTTGCGTACACACACCCAAGGGCAAGCATTCTGCATGTCCGTATTTAATCATTGGCAGGTATGTCTCCAGCCACTCCAATTTTTTTCTGATCTCAACTTATACAGACATTGATTGTAGATCGTTCCCGGTGATCCTTTGGACAAATCAATAGTGATTCGGCCTCTTGAGTTGCAGCCGACTCCACACCTCGCTAGAGAGTTCATGATCAAAACGAGGTTAGTCAAACCGTGTTCATGGCTTCCATACCCTGCTAAGCTCTCAGCTGACGACCATCAGCTAATAGTGAATGGGAATGTTTGTCTTGGTGGATCAATCGTAGCAATTGTGCATTGACTGCACTATCATTTTTCATCGCTGACCAAGTACACTGCGTTGTTTGGATGAAAAAGTTGATGTGTACAAAAAAGAGATTGAATGGTCGTTTCAGAAGGAGAAAAGGCTTATCAGAGGATGTTTCCGTTAACAAATTCTTCGATGATCCTATGCTGTTGGAAGCTGGCCAAACAGCAAGACGTGTTCAGTTATTCAGGATTCTAATTCTGAAAATATCAGCGTTTTCGTTGAACGTGGTTATGTCACCGTTGAGCTATTTGTTTGTTGATGTTGTTAACGACCTCTAAAAGGAGTTTTGTCATTCTCTGTGAGGTATACTGCGATGTTTTTGACTCATTATCACTGAATCGATTAGATTGTACTAAACAGCGAGTAAACCCTTCCAAGGAGTGACGAACTCTCTTAATGGTCTAGAACTGAATTCATTACCGTGATCTCCAATTTAATGTATTGCGGATAAACTATTCCTATATCGACTCTTCATTTCCATGTATGTACAAACACGAATTTATCATGCAAACAGCAGACTCAAAAGAGATGTAATCATCTATAGAACAGACGCATTCAAAGAAAGATAACAAAATAATCGAAAATGCACTGGAAAAGAAATGGAACTTGTAAGCTAATATGACTCCAAGGATGCTACCCACCACACCGGATGCACAAGCCAGCATTTGTACCAGTTTTAGTGAACCACATGTCTTTACATATCCATAGGTTCGAGTTTCGGATTCTTCGATCCCATATTTTGCCTTCGTCGAATTGTTTCCAGCGTGCGACCAACGTGTGAAAAAGCACGATCGAAAGCGGCTTGGAGCTAAAACATTGCCGTTAAGGAATAGAGAGCTGAGATAGAATACGAAAAACATTAACGCCTTGACGCGACGACAACACCTTTGACACCGCTACGCGAATGCGCATCTCATTTTGCACGCAAATGATGATGGCGATTGAGTATCCCACCCATGACATCCCCTTCTCCCGCGCTTTTGCGCTTTTTCTTTCGTATTTATCCTATGGATCGCACCATAAAGTAAGCGCACGACATGGTTCACCATATCTCAAATATTCTTCAGTTAAACAATGGTTTTCCAAGTGTTAGGAAATTGACAGCTCCGTTCATTCCATGTTTTTATCTTGTTCTCATGAACATGTACACAAAAAAGTGGTAGAAGCAAATACCCACGATTAAGTTCTAGCATTGGATATTACTGAAATAGTTTTATGCCATCTATGCATTGCGTAGTTATCACACAGGATTTATGGGTGTGGGGTGAAGTGACCCCGCTCGCAAAATCGCCCCTGTCCCACGCGGCCAAAAAGCCGAAACGCGCGTTGTCATCGACTTGTTAAAAGAAACATTACCTGTTTTGTTTGATCAATATAAGTATTCACAGCAGCAAGGTTTGCGCCTGAGTCGTCGTCACTCCCGATAAGACGCTAAAATAGAACAGATTCTCAAGCTCTTCGTGCACAGCCTCTTATGTGAGAAAATTATGCAACTATAAAATGACACATACTCCTTTGGCATCGGAGAAGCCCATGTGCTCTTTTAGAGCGTCCTTGTCGAAGATTTTCTCCATTTTACTCATCTGCTTTTGTGTTTCACAGACCAATATCTAAAAAATGAGGAGAGCGCAATCAACAAAGGACCTATCGACTGTTATTAGTAAATCGTCGACCAAGCTACAGCAAACTTACCAAGTTCCCCTCGATTTCGTCACATACTGCGAAAAGATTGTCCATAGCCTTGAGATACTCATTCGAATTTGACGGAGCATTACCAGCTCGAAGATCTTTGAGAGCTTCGCCAGCCCGGCGATTCAGGTCCTATAGAAGCAAACTTCACTATAAATCTTCAAACAAATCTAGAATTTCGTACCACCTATTGCGACTCACAATAATAGAGAATCGAAGATCTTTCATGATCAACTGCTTGCTATGTGCTACAGGGTCTTGCAGATACGGCTGCGTTGGCTCCCCTGTAGACGATGATTGCGGTGCTGGCTGAAACCCACATAATCGGAATACGATAGTAAATCCGTTAAGAAGTTGAAATTGTAGGAGAGGGTGGAAAATTTTCGAAGTTCAGCATAGACGAAATTACTGAATACGCCTTTCTTGAAACTTGCTGCTCTGGGCTTATTTTGAATCTTTACATACCTGGTTACTTGCCGGTGTGCCCGGAGCAACCGACGCAGGTCCTTGTTGCACCGAAGAAGGTTGAGGAATGGTCTGCTGAGATGCAGGGTTCATTGGAGTGTGCGGCTGCACAGACATCGGCCCTACAGAAGTTGGTCCTCCAGCGCTTGCTGCTGCAAGTGTTGAGCCCGGTGCTTGTGAACCTGGTCCACCTCCGGGTGTGAGCTGCTGCTGTAAGCGAAGACGATCTTGGTAGAGACATGACCACTATCCCATACACAGAAATGATAAACGCACCGGTCCAACAGAGCTTGTCATTGGACTTCGAGGTTGTTGCATCTGCATATGCTGCTGAGAAACGTTTCCAAGTGAACTGCCCAGTATAGAAGTTAGCTGTAAAACAATGATTTGAGAAAAAAGTAATACACTAGTGATCAAAATATGAAAAAAACGAATTATTATAATATCTACAAGTCCTTATCAGGACAACATATGCATTGGTAAGCGATTGTTGAGTCATCATCGTCACCTGACTTGCACCTGTAATCTCATCTCCACGCCCGCTTGCGAAATAGAAAAGGTGTCAAAATATCAATAAAAGGTGGAAGCAGCAGTTAAATGTTGTTATTCTTACTTGTGGTTGACTAGAATGCATAGGTTGTTGACCCATTGGTTGTTGAGGTTGCTGTGAAAGTTGTTGCTGCACAGGTTGTTGCTGTTGTCCTAGCTGCTGTTGTTGAACTATTTGCTGCTGTTGTTGTTGCATTCCCATTTGCTGCCCACTCAACTGTTGCTGCAAACCCATCTGCATCTGCTGTTGATGTCCCATTGTGGGTTGCTGTTGCTGCTGCTGAGGCTGCAGTTGTGGCATTTGTCCCATCTGCTGCTGACCCATTTGCATTTGTTGTTGTTGTTGCGGTGTGAAGTGCATTTGCATCTGCCCTTGTTGCTGAGGCATTCCAGAATCTTGGGGATACATCTACAATGAATTTTCGTTTGAAACAAACAAGATTCCTGTTGGAAGGACAAAATCAAAATATACTTGATCCAACTTGACTTTTCAGGGAAAGATTGCAGAAAATCCTAGCTAAATACAAATTTCATTCTACCCACCCTGAAGGTAGAGCTGACCAAAAATGACGCTTACTCTTACTTTAGGTCACGTGTCACAACGAACCGGTACAATCGCCACTGTGAAGCTTATTTTCTGCACTTGGTATGGAGGTTTCGTGCTAACCTTAGTTTGGGGGCACCATGCCGGCGTCGCGTGCGGTCTGTTCGGCATTGCTCCCTCCACAGGCTGTATCCCAGATATGAGCCCATCTAGTTCGCATCACGTGGCAGTTTCGAAATACGCGCCATCGGGGACTAAGGCTGCTTTCATAGTCTGCGGTCCGTGCCGTCCGCGCCGTCCGTCGAAATGCACCGAAATCGAGGGAGGCGCCGACTGCGTGCCAAGTACGCATTGTGCGCCAGAGCGCGTGTTGACGTTTTTCACCCTGTCCGAGCCGTCCGCACGGACGGCGCGGACGGCACGGACCGCAGACTATGAAAGCAGCCTAAGCCATCGGAGGAACAGACGAACAAAGCACCGGTCGCCGCGTGGTCCCCTCCCAACTAAGTTAGCACAGGGATTTCTGCTCAGTAATAAAGTACCCTCGGACTTGATTTGGAAACAGGTGCCCTTGAAAGCTAACATTAGAATTGAAGGCGTTGAAAGGAGAATAAATATTCGCTTTACATACCTGCCGCTGTACACCCATTTGACCCATCTGTCGTCCCATCATATGCTGTTGATTGTACATCATCTGAATTCATCATCTACGTTACATCTTCTAAGACAACGCCTGACACAGTGGCGCAAGGGGAATGCTAAAGATGATGACCTGCTGTTGTTGCATGTTTGGAGGTTGTCCGTATCCACCCTGTTGACCTGACATTGTGGTGAACCCGTTGTTGGAGTGGTCTTGTCTGGAAATGATTAGTTGCCGCGGAAATTCACCGCATCAACACCGTTCAATGACGACATAACGACCCAATAATTATGTTCAGGCGATCCACACTTGGGATATGGCCAAGCAGGACTAAAGATAAAACGCGATTAAACTGATGTGAAAAAGAATGATGTTTTGTAGCGAGGAAGCGGTGCGAAAGGGGGTGTGGTTTGCTAGGACGGAAAGTGAGTGACTTTCGTGTGAAGCCGCCTCCCCTTAAAACCTTGCTAATTTCAGCTTCCGCCTTCGCATATGGGTGATTCTTCGGCGCAATAGAGCAAATATCATTATAACGACAACATAGGAAAAAAAGGGTGCTAAGTGAGTTGGCGGGGGCAGGGCGGGGGCAGGGCCTATGGGCTATTCCACCTTCATCCTTTGAACCTCCCAATCTGGTGCTTGCGTTTGCACTCTATGACCAGCTCATCTGCTCACTACGTCCCCACACACCAAACCATTGCGGCACCGTAATAGTCTCACCGACGAGGAGTCCCTGCCCTACACGGCTTGGCCTTGGCTCCCATCTTCTTCTCTGAAAGTTGGAGCCGTTCCCTAATCGTCTGTGTTCTAGCCATTAGGCAAAGAACACGGAGAATAGTTCGAGCAGTCACGTAGCCGTTGAGAAAGAGAGGAAGTCCACTTTTCTACCGGTTCCCGGGCTGTCTTATGAGCGAATTATGAAGTTTTCGAGCGCGGAGCCCAAACTATAGAGGCAGCCTTACCCGTTAGCGTGTATTTTTGCGAATTCGAATATTCCGTTTATTCGAAAACTGTGCACAACCCAACATAATCGTACACTTTGACAAAACGAATGAGTTCTCTTTCACAAGGATAAGAAGGCTTAGCTACTTGGCTTTTAACACATTTCACATGAACAAATTCTAGACTAAACATAAGAACAATATGTAGAAGTAATGCGCAAAACCTACGACCTAAATTGTGTTGGTTTAGATTAAACATTGCAAGTCCAGCCTTTCTTAACTGTGCTCGACACTATTCCAAAACAGAAAAACATGAAATACGACTCTCCCATCCGAAACTTCCAAACACGACTTCTCAAACTTAGACAACGTAAGGTTGACTCTGGCAACAATGATCATGTCACCGCATTTACGAAGGACGCTACGGGTGTGGGTACTTAGGACAGAACGCGACTTTTTCGCTCTTCGCAACGCGACATCGCGCGGCAGGCTGGCGCACCCGCAGCGAAAACAACTACGGTATGGAAGAACGCGCGATTGGAGCACGATATTTCTGTC